TGATTTTCCTGCTTAGTTGTTTTCATACGATAAGATTCAGGCGTACCAAAAGATTAACTTTTTAAAAATGCTATTGGTTTAGCATTGAAGAAGAAGAAACAAAAAATAAGTTACTTGTAGTTGTTCTCCAAAGCAGTAGAACTATACTGTTTAGCAAGCCCATTAAGAAAGTTATCCTGTGGTAGGTTGGAGAGCTAGTGCAGTAAGTGAGACACTTACCTTGTATGTGTCTGACTCAAGTTCAGTTCTCAGCACTATAGGAGTTCTGTGAGCACTTCCAGAGTGAGCCCTGAACACAGATTCAGGATTAAATGCTGAGCACCACAGAGGTATGGTTCAAACACCTTCCCTGACTACCTCCCCCCACAAAAAAAGAGCAAAGAAATTCATCCTATCATTTAAAATACTGCAATTGGAAGTATGTTACGAATGTAGGTAGAAGTCATATATTCTCTAATAGTTCACTTTGTATTTCAGGGTAGGGGCAGGGGTGTGGAGGAAAAATCCATGTGGTTCACTTTATTTTTTTACAGAGAAAACTGTAGAAAATTGGTTTCTTTACCTCTTTCTATATCAAGTAAGTACAAGGCCGAAGATTAGACATCATAAAGAGTCAAAATATATATGGCTGGGTTATGACTATTGAAATGGTGTATTATGTACTATGCATGGTAGCACGGTCCTCCCGTTGTTCATTGATTTGCTTGAGTGGGCCCAGTAACATCTCCATTTTGAGACTTGTTGCTACTGTGTTTGGCATATTGAATATATCAGGCTCTGCCATGATTATGTACTATATGATATATATATATATATCCTTTTCTTCTTTTAGTTTTGGACCACACCCAACAGTGCTGAGGCTTACTCCTGGCTCTGCACTCAGAGATCACTTTTGGTGGGGCTCGAGGGAACCATATGGGATGCCAGGGATTGACCCTGGAATGGGAGCATGCAAGGGAAGTACCCTACCTACCATATCGTTGTTTTGACCCTGTATGTGTCTTTTGGAATTGAAAAGTCATGAAAGGCAAATTGGAGTTACTTTTAATCAAACTTTGAAGAATTTCTAGGTGTCTTAAGAATACTTACAAGAGGGACTAGAGCAATAATACACCAGTGGGTAAGGTGTTTACCTTGCATGTGGCTGACCTGGGTTCAGTCCCCTGCATCCCATATGGTTCCCCAAGCACTCCAGGAGTAATTCCTGAGTGCAGAGCCAGGAGTAACCCCTGAGCGTCACCGCTGTGACCTAAAAAAAAAAAAAATCATAAAAGTTGTGCTAGAAGGTAATTCACAAAGTTAGCTTTAGAGAATTAAACTGATGATCTAATCATGAAATAGTAGGAGATGAATGCTTTAAGATTCTAAGGAAGGAATATGCATATCTAAGTCTCAGTTCAGTGGAATTAATTGCATACACAGTATTGGGCAGCAATCACCTTTATGTTTACTAATCTTTTCTGTCAGTAACTAGAAAATCTGTTCATCAGTGACACCTACCCCAACCTCAACCTTTAAATTTGAATCTGTTTATTTTCTATCTTTATGAATTTGCTTATTTTAGATATTGCATATTAGGAAAACAATATTGATATTGTATCTATCCTTTTGTGTTAGCTTATTTTACTTAGCATAATTTTCTTTTTTGGGGGGGGGTCACACCCGCCAATGCACAGGGGTTACTCCTGGCTCTGTGCTCAGGAATTACCCCTGGCGGTGCTCAGGGGACCATATGGGATGCTGGGAATCGAACCCGGATTGGCTCCGTGTAAGGCAAACGCCCTACCCGCTGTGCTATTGCTCCAGCCCCAATTTTCTTTTTTTCCCCTCTATTTATTATTTTTTTAATTAGTGAAACACCATGAGGTACAGTTATAGACTTACAAATTTTTGTGCTTGGGTTTCAGTTATGCAATGATCAAGTACCCATCCCTCCGCTACCGTCCATCCTCCACCCCTATGGGTCCCAACATCCCTCCCACCCCCCATCCCCCCCATCCCACCCTGCCTCTGTGGCAGGGCATTCCCCCTTGTTCTCTCTCTCTCCTTTTGGGTCCTGTGGTTTGCAAGAGAGACATTGAGTGGCAATCATGTTTGGTCTATAGTCTACTTTCAGCATGCTTCTCCCATCCTGGGAGGATCCTCCCAACATCCTTAATTTGGTGCTCTCTTCTCAATCTGAGCTTCCTTTTCCCCTAGCACGTGTGGCTGGCCTCCAAGTCATGGAGCAAAATTCCTGGTACTAATTGGCCACTCCTGGGTGTTAGTCTCCCATTTTGTTGCTTTATGTTCCCCAGATGGATGCAATCTTTCTGTGTCTATCCCGCTCTTTCTGACTCATTTCGCTTAACATGATACTTTCCATGTAGTATCACTTGTATGTGAATTTCATGACTTCATCTTTTCTAACAGCTACATAGTACTCCATTGTGTAAATGTACCAAGGTTTCTTTAACCAGTCATCTGTTCTCGGGCACTCAGGTTTTTTTCCAGATTCTGGCTATTGTAAAGAGTGCTGCAATGAACAAACAAGTGCAGATGTCACTTTGACTATAACTTTTTTGCCTCTCTGGGATATATAGCAGAAATCCAAAACCAACATTTAATTCTTGAACCCAGCTGTAGAAAGCAAATCATTTCACAATGCTGTTCCAGCATATCTGATTGGGGGGGGGAGGGTCATAAACTCTAAACAATAATTGTGCATCTTCTATCGAAACAATGTATCTTGTCAAAGTAGATAGAGTATTAACTAGAACTCATCTGCCACACAGGAATTGGGAGGGGTGGGAGGTGGGGTTCTATTGGAGTTCACGGTTAAAAATAAGTATTGGTAAAGGGAAATGTGTTTGATACTTACATGACTGAGACCTAAACCCGAAAGTTCTGTAACCCTGGAAGTATTTCTATTAAAAGTTAGATAGTTAAGAGATTGGTTTCTGTGCTCTGGAGTCGTGGCCGTGCCGGAGAGCCGCTTGTGGGGGGCAGCTGGTGACCTCGGTCGGGCGTGAAGGACGGCCCAGAACGCCCCCCTTCCCAGGAGGCCCCCGCTGCCCCCCGCCCCCAGCTCAAACCTGCTGTCCACAAGGCTCCTGTGCGGCCGCCATCTTTCTTTCCAGAGAGGAGTGGGCGAGCGGGACAACACCCTTTCCCCTCCGGGCAGGCATGGTGGCGCGGTTTAACACATAGTCCATTTGCTTTTCTGCTCCAAGCGGGTGGCTCTCTGTGCTAAGTCCTTGTGCCTCCGGGGCTGTGGCCGTGCCGGAGAGCCGCTCGTGGGGGGCAGCTGGTGACCTTGGTCGGGCGTGAAGGACGGCCCACAACGCCCCCCTTCCCATGATGGCCATTTACTTTCTTGGTAAACTTTGCCCCAAGTTTTTGGGGTCTGGCCAAAGGCAATTTTGGGATATCTGAAAGTCTGACGTTGTCATCAGACTGCTGATGCACTCACCTCACCTGTACAGATTGACCTGCAGTGGCACCACACCCCCTGGTAGAACATTTTTGTATTTCAGAGTCACTGGAATATTATATTGGATTCAAAATCAAGTACTCAGAAGGCATAAACAAGCATTTCTAAATGTTGATGATATTACTTTCTTAAAATATAACATAATTTGGGTGATAAAACATTGCAGATAAAAGGCTTAGAATTTATTTTGAGATTTTGTTTTGGGGTCATGCCTGTTCAGGGATCACTCATGGTGGTTCTCAGAGGACTGTATGGGTTGCAGAGGATTGACCAAGCCCAAGACAAAGACCCTACCCACTGTGCTATATCTTTTTTTTTTTTTAGTGAAACACCATGAGGTACAGTTGTAGATTTACAAATTTTTGTGCTTGGGTTTTGATTATAGAATGATCAAATACCCATCCCTCCACCAGTGCCCATTTTCCACCACCATGGATAATATCCCTCCCACCCCCATCCCCCTATCCCACCCTGTCTTTGTGGCAGGGTATTCCCTTTTGTTCTCTCTCTCCTTTTGGGTGTTGTGGTCTACTGTGCTATATCTTTAGACCCTCTTTTGAAGTTTTTAGAATGTTAGTAGGATCTTGGGAGCAAATTTAAATTCTTCCATGTCTAAATTAGATGACCTAGATTTAATATGGTTCTTTTATCTGCTTAAAAATTGTATTAAAGGAATTGATGATAATTTCTAGGGTTTCTGTAGGGCCAGTTTTTCAGAAGTAAAAGATATAAGAAAATTTGAATATATGTAACCTGAATTTTCCCACAAAAAAAGTTTATGCTCTTTATAAAGTTTATACACTTAATAAAAGTGTATGCTCTTTATAAAATTTATTAAATTTTCTTTTTACATGTTTTCACTTGCAAATAGTACTATTGTTTGGACGGACAAAGATTTATAATAGCATTAAGTTCTTTGGTAAGCATGCAGTAATAACACAAATGATTAATTTTAGCACATAATCTTTTCATTATTACTTTGGTTTTTGGGCCATACCCAGCAGTACTCATGGGTTACTCCTGCTCTGCATTCAAGGTTCACTCCTGGCGGTGCTCAGGAGACCACATAGTATGCCAGAGATCAAACCTAGATTGGCCACGTGCAAGTGAAATGCCTTACCTGTTGTATTATTACTCCAGCTCACCTCTTTTAACCAATATTTTTTTTCATTGAATGTTGGGCCCAACATGACGAACATGAGAATCACATAGAGAACTTTTCAAAATATGTCAGTACTAAGACTGGATCTGTCTATCTAGATCAATACCTGGACGCAATACTCAGGGATTTTAAAAAACAAGTTTCACAAGTAATACACTGGAAGCCAGGGTGTCAGATCACTGTGTTCAAGCTGGAGCCAACTGAGATTTAGGTGGGGCTGCAAGTGGGGGTACTAAGAATGAGCTTTAGTCCTTGTTTTCTTTTGCCTATTTCAAACCACTCAAGAGCAGGGAGAAATCAAAGAGTCTTGAAAATTCAGAGTCTAGAAAAACTTCGAATTTAAAAAATATATTTTTGTCATTACAGACATGGAAGGACTTTAAGAAAATTTAAATGGTTCAACAAAAGATGCTCTAATGGATGACAGTGCAACTCCTACATACAATCTGCAGATAGAACCAAAAGATGGCTGCCATCCTGGAGACTGTGTGGAAAGTATAGTAACCCGCTTGCCTTCTGCATCTGATGAAAATGAAAATCAGCTTGATGGGGATGGCTGTGAGCATCTGACAAGCAGTGAGAGTGCAATGGGCAAACCGGAAGTTTTGGAGCAGGACAGTCTCAACAATAATGAAAGCTGTACCGCAGGCTGTGAGGTGGCTACCAGTGAGAACTCGGAGAGCACTTCCTGGGAGGACCCCAGAGATGAACAGGCTTTCTTGGGAAAGGACAAAAAAATACCTGGAAAAAGAAGCTCAAGAATCAAAAGAAGCACTGCTAGGAAGATAATACCACAAGGTATGTCTTCTGTTATCATTTATGCTCTTCTTTAAAAACAAACTGTCTTCCCAACCTGGAAAGTGTTTGCTGTCCCACAGCTTAATTTTCTTCTTTGATTCAGTAGTTATTTCTGTAACACCACACAAAATCTTTTGGTGTGGTAAACTGTTAAACAGTGGCATGGTTCCACAGTATTCCCTTTTATTTGGTTGGTTTTAATTTGGGGCCACATCCAGTGGTGCTCAGGGGCGACACCTAGCTCTGTGCTCAGGGGCTATTTTCTGCAGTGCTCACAAGACCATGCAGTGCTGGGGATTGAACCCAAGTGTCAAGCAATGCAAAGTCTGTACTTAGCTTGTTGCGCTCTCTCTCCAGCCCTCACAGTGCTCTATTATATCAACTGACTATAAGGTGTTTACTTAGTTATGGCTCATCACAGTACTTTGCTATTTATAGAGTGCTGAAATGAACATTCCGTGTACAAGTTCCCAACACTGTGATTTAAATATGTATGGTCTCCTTTCTTTATGGTATATAAGACCATTTTCTACCAGTATCAGCAGTATCAGTATTTTTTTTTCTTTTGGGGCCATGCCTAGCGATGCTCAGGGGTAACTCCTAGCTCTTCACTCAGGAATAATTCCTGGTGTGTTCAGGGGACCATATGGCATGCCAGGGATCAAACTTTGGTCAACCATGTGCAAAGCAAACACCCTACCTGCTGTACTTTCACCTGGCCCCTCTACCAGTATCAGTCTTAAAGCACTGTTGCCACTATTTCTTAGATCTTGAACCTGTGAGTTTATGAGGTAATATGATTTTACTTAATCTCTTTATAAGTTTTTTTTCCTTCGGACTCAGTAGTTGAATATATATATTAACATATAAACATATATTGTCTTATACAGTGTTATATAAGACACTCTGCTCTAGTTTAGTGACTGGTTTAAAAAGTATAGTAAACCACTTGAAAGTATTTCTCATTTGGTATACAGTTTGGCATTTAGCATTTGGAGCTCTGGACTTTTTTTTTTTTTTTTGCATGCATGCATCATAGAGTACCTTTGGGAAAAGACAGCCTCTGATTATTATCAAAAGCCAGTGAGATAGGAGAGTCCTAGTTTATCATACGCTGGGACTTTTTTAATGTAGCCCCACGTTGTAAAAATCAGTAACCTGCATAAGACTCTGTTAAACAAAGTGGAGTGTCTTCGTCATCCTTTGTTCTCTTGTGCTGCTTCAGCTTATTAGAAATATAGTTAGGAGGCAGGAGAGAAAAGTCAGTGGCTGAGCATATGCTTTGCATGTAGGAGACCTGGCTTCTATTGCTAGAACTGTGTGGTCCCCTGAGCATAGTAACCCCTGTGTACAGAGCCAGAAGTAGCTCCTGAACACTGCCAGGTGTGGCCACTAAACAAAACAGAACAGTAGTCTGTCAGTAAAATATGAAACCACAGGTTCTGAAAATCCTTATTTATCAGTTATTTATTCAGTAAGGTAATTTTATAACATTTATCATACTTTGGCTTTCCAATTAACAAATCCCTTTGTCTTTGATTTTCTTAATAGACTTAGAGAAAATTAAAATAATTTGTTTTGGTTTTGTTTAATTTTGCACCATGCCATGTGGTGTTCAGGGCTTCTGGGAACCACTCCCAACACTGCTTGGTCAGCTCAACCAGTGCAGGACTATTTGGGCTCAGTGGTGCCAAAGATTGAACCCAGGTCTAGTGCATACAAGACAGACACCCTAATTTTCCATATTCCCCAGTACCATCTTTCTGGCCTAATGTATGTACCATCTTTCCCTATACATCTTTTGTCCCCTGAAATAGTTTCTGACAAGCAATATGAAAGCATTTTCTAATAGCCCTAAGAGTAAATCAGTGATACAGTGCTGTTAGTATGTAAAATGATCTTTTCTATAATTCAAGGGCAGAGTGACTATACCTCTTTACTCTTGGTTGTGTGATGTTTTAAAGAACTAAGCCCTAATTACATATGCATAAAGTCAGTTGTAGTTTCAAAATCATAAGTTTTCCCCTCCCTTTATCACTATTTCCATTTTCCTAGATATTAGTTATGCAATGTGTAGAGTTATTGTCTCATAGATTTTTTTAAAAAATACATGATTTATAAAACTTTGGGAATCTTTATGCGGATTATTTTTGAAATAATTGTGTATAGGGTGGAGCAGTAGGACAGCAGGCTAGGTGCTTGCCTTGTACATGGCCGACCTGAATTCTAACTCCAGCACCCCATATGGTTCCCTGAGGCCTGCCAGGAGTGATGCCTGAGTACAGAGCCAAGAGAAAGCCCTGATCATTGTCAGATGTGCCCCTCCAAATTGGAAATAAAATAAATTTTGAAACAAAATAATTTTATATATTACTTAAATATATTACTGAATTTAAGAAATGTAATTTAAGAATTATAAAACAAATTCAAAATTCTGGATCTAGATTACTTGGAAACAGCCATTCCGTACTTGCTTTCTCATTTTTTTTATGATTTCCATCTACATGTATTTATAAAAATCTTCTCTGAGTCGGGACTTCTTAGATTTCTGAGTAGACATGGTATATTTTAGATGTCACTAAAATATAGTGAGAGTATTATTTTCCCTTTTTCAGTCCCTGAAGGTCCCTAGAATGGGAAGCTATAGTGTTGCTTGACAAACTTTCCTTCCTTTATGGGAGAGATCACTGAGCCTCTTTCTAGTATTTACAGCCCATCACCAAATCCAAGTGACCGTATTTCCTCGTGTCTCTCTACTTGCTTTGTTTCCTATATCACCACTGCCACAGTTCATGAGCATCTTTAACTGGAATGCTGCAAAAGTCCCCTAAAAGTATCTCCTATCTTCTTCCTCCTGAACCCATCTTCCATATCAAAGCTAACAGTGCCATGTTTTGAAGTCTATATGTCCATTTACTCTTCTTTTTTACTTTGAAATTCCAATACCTGAAAAATTAAGTCTCAAAAAATTTCAGATAAATACATTTGTAATAGTAGAATACTGTTCTCAGACATGAAAGGAGATTAAATGTGTAGAATTAAATTTTACAGGAATAAGTACCTTTACAAGTAGGAATGCAACACTTTGAAAATAAAATTTGAGTAAATTTTATTCACTTGTCCAATATATTTCTTAGCTTAATTAGTAATAAATTTTCAAGAGCCCATAAACTAGTCCTGGAAAAGATAACAAAGCAGTAGTGGAGATGTCCCATTATGTATTGGCTTTTAGAGGCATCATTTCAATAGACCTGAACATCAGGTTCCGGATAGTCTGGTTGTCTTACATTACAGCCTATATTTTTCCATAACAGAAGTGAATTCCCTTGAGATAGTCAACTAAGAATGGTTTTAAGTTGCATTACATCAATCTTTCGATGTTTTAAAACTGATGTGGTTTTAGGTCAATATACTGAGGTAAATATAACAGATGAAAGTGGTCCTACAAATCTTGTATATTTATAAAGGTACAATTCATATATTATTCACTTTGCCTATTAAAAATACATGACTTGATTTTTTTTTCATTTCCTCACAAAGCTGTGCAGTCATCACCCTTCAATTTTAGAATGTCTTTGTTACCGAAAAATGAAGCCCCTTACTATTAGCAGTCACTCCCCTTTCCTCCTGAGTCCTCCTAGCACAATGTAATGTCTTTATATTCTTTCTCTGTAGTCTTCCCTACACTGCACATTTCATGTGAAAGGAATCACACAACATGTGGTCTTTATTGGCTAACTTCTTTCACTTATGATTTATGAAGATTCACTCATGTTGTAGCATGTATCAACACTGCATTCTTTTTTATGTAATTATATTCCATTGCACGGGCATACCACATTTTATTGATTTGTCCACTCATGGGCGATTTTGTTGTTTCTACCTTTTGGCTAGCTCCTATGAACATTTGCGTACAAGAAGACACATGTTTTCCTTTGGAGGTATAACTTTTTGATGTCTGCCTGTTTTCCAAATAGAGTAAGCTATTTTATATTCCTAGCAGCAATGTGTCAGTACTACCTTTTTTTTCATATTATTTCCAACACTTGTGAACATCCAATTCTTTAATTTTTACCCATAACTTTAAAAATTGAGATTAATGTATATGTCATGTAAATTCACCTGTACTTATATTCCAGATATTCACATGCATAATATGTACAACTTAGTGGTGTTAGTATATTCACAAAGTTGTAAAATCAACACCAAGTATCTTAATTCTGTAATATTTTATCTCTCTCCAAAGAAACCCTATACTCATTAGTAGTCACTGCCCATTTTTCTCCCCTCAGCCCCTGCCAAACACTATCTTATAAAATTGTATAGATGTAATAGACAGATTAGCTTTTTGATAATTACCATAACAACATACTTTCTTAATTTACTTGGTCACCATAGTATCTAAGTATTTGACAAAAACAGTTCAGCAGTGGCAGGAAGCCAAAGACAGTACATGGAAAATGAGAAAGGAAGACACTTTGAAACTGGCTTGCCATCTTTTACTGCCCTGACTTGTTTCTCTGAAGACCTTCACAGTCTGCCAGCCTGGGAGGCAGTGAGGAAGGCCTTAAAGCAAGTGGGAAAACAAGCATTGACAATGGATCCGTGTTCTGGAGTCAGTTTTATATAGGGAGAAGAGCAGAGACTGGGAACTTGAGTGTTGACTCTACCTATTCCCACCAGAGCGACCTGAGAAAAGTGACAGCCTCTTTCCTGTGCCGCGTGGGAGGGCTGGTTGTACTACCAGTTTTGACCTTCCCAACAATTGTGAACAAAAGGGTGAATGATGTGAGTTATATATTTAGAAAGACTATTCAGTCTTCAGTGGAGAGAGTGGGTTAAAACTGCAGAATTAGAGCCATGACTCAAAAGCCCCTCATAAGCCAGGGCTTCTGCATTGAGTAGTTACAGGGCTGGAAAGAAGTACTTGGGTTCTGGGGTTGGAGAGATAATGCAATGGGTAGGGCACTGCCTTGCATGTGGTTGACCTGGGTTAGATT